CTCCTGTGATGTGACCCTGTTCCCCTCACACACACACACACACACACGACGCGTTACTCTGCGCTGTGCAAAACTCCGCATTTGAACAGTCAATAGCATATACTTAAACTAATAACAAAACATACTTACAGTCACTGATTCAGAAGCGCCAGATTGTCATAGCAAAGTCGGAATTCATATTTTTTTTAGAAATAGCCTTTGTGCACAGCCAGCCTTGTACTCTTCTAGGTTCAAAAAACTGTCGTCCATAAAATGCGTTGCACAAATTCGAACATCTGGGTTGTGCTGTTCTGTTGTAAATAAATCTTAACCAATGATTCCTAATTGCATCTACTTCCGGAAGGCCAAATAAAGTGCTTTTGCTTTCGCACTGAAACACACAGCGTCTCCCTGACATGGCTGCATCAACACTACTGCTGTTCCTGAAACCAAGGCCTTCTTTCTTTGCGTGCACATTTGGGCGGCATTATGCTAATATTTCCACATAGTGAGATAGACGTGGGGGTGTGTTAGAACGAGCTGTTTTAGGTAGGCGTTTAGGTAGGCAATAGACTCTTTAACTTTTAAAAAGAAAATCTCCTTGGATTTGAGACTTTAGTCTTTGCAACTTAACAGATCTTCTTTATGCACCAAGAGTTTGTAACACACCAAAAGAAAGGAAAAATTTAAATCGCATCATATAACTCCTTTAATTACTTTCACAAAAAAATTTAAAAAAAATTTTAAATCTTGCATACAAATTGTAGATTTTTGTTTTACTTTTAGATTTATTTTAAATTGTCCATACCCACAATAGTAGTCCACTGTGGAAAAACTGAAATGGATCAATCAATTGTTCATTCTATCTGTCAGGAAAAATTTTAATCGCATCATATGACCCCTTTTAGGAAATACAACTTGAGCTCTACCAAAAATATACACTACCACTCAAATGTTTTCGGTCTTTTTGAAGTTTCTTATGCTCAACAAGGCTGCATTTATTTAATAAAAATAAATACAGTAACATTGTGAATTTTTTTTACACATTTAAAATAACTGTGTTCAATTTTAATATATTAACTGTAATTTATTCATGTGCTGTACAGCTAAATTTCAGCAGCCATTACATGCTCCTTCAGAAATCATTCTAATATAGTGATTTGATTATTATTATCAATTTAGAAAACAGTTGGGCTGATTAATATATTTGTGGAAATTGTCATACACTTTTTTTTAGGATTCTTTGATGATTTAATGTTGATGAAAGAACAAAAGAACAGCATTTATTTGAAATAGAATATCTTCTGTAACAATATAAATGTCTTTATTGTAACATCTACTAAACATTATACGTATATATACAGTATATATATATATATTATAGATGTTACAATAAAGACATTTATATTGTTACAGAAGATATTAGTGTATATTAGTGTAGATAGGTAGTGTATATTGGATGCTCTAAGTTACTACAAGAAAAAATATTACATCAATTTATCACTAACTAAAATAACAGATAATGTAGTCAGTAAAATGTAAAATGGACTTAATGTACAGTGGGTACGGAAAGTATTCAGACCCCCTTAAATTTTAATGAAATATTAAATAAATTTCAAGCTAATTTTTGCAAAAGACAACAAGTATGACTAAAATAAAAAAACTAACACTAGGCTGAGTTTAGAGTTTGATTGTTGATTAAATTACATGAAAACAGTGGGAAGACTACATTTAAATTTAGTGTTAATTAAACTGTTCCTTTATTAGGTTTGCTGTAAGTCACTTTTCATCTGTTAAATGACAACTTACTAACATCTCAAATGATTCTCATAGATAAGAGATAAGTGCCTGCTCTGGTCTAAAATTACAGCTATTACAATTAATTCTATTACAGTTAATGTCTATGGCTTTAAAAACAGATAATTAGATGATGTAAATGTCTGCAACTTCATGGCTGTCTGGATCCAATGACCACAAGACATCCTGCAATTCCAGGCGTAATACAATATTGAGCTCCTTAACAGAATTATCATACAGTCACATGACATAGTGACTAAATCATATGTAATGATTATTGTATGTAGACATCATATATCTGTGCACCTGCCACATAGTCCCCAAAGCCCACCGTGGTCAGGGTGATCACGACAAAGTACACCGCTTCCAACAGGCTCCAGCTCTCCACTTCCTGAAACACCATGGTCGGCACGGCGATGAAGACTAAGCAGCCAATCAGGATGGAGAAGACAGCGGAGATGACACGGACACTGGTGGGCTTCACACCCTTACGCTGTTCAGCAGGGGGGGAAAATCATGGTGAAAACCAAGATGATTTTCAACATACCCTGACAGCAAAATACAGTTATCTTTGTTATTTTGGAAATGATCTGATGCTTATTAGTACTTGGGAATCGGGGGCTGGATTCACAAACATTTTTATAAGAAAAAATTAAGAAATTTCTCAAGATGAATTCGAAGAAATTCATAAGAATGTTCCTACGAGTAATTCTTAAGAGGTTATCAGATAATTTATTAAGAAAGTATTTTTTTTACTAAAAAGGCAGGCTTAATGTGTTCTGATTGTATGGTGGTTCTTGCCGAAGAATTGCTGATCAACTCACTGGAAAACAACTCAAGGCCATCTTTTTGCACTGCATGCAGTTTACAGTAATAATCATAAAAAGGCAAGAGACTACAGGCAATAACATTGTTTTTTTTCATGCACTGGTCAGTTTTAAGATTTTGGGAACTCACATACACCAGACTTAATAGTTTTACTCTCATCTCTATTGTGAAGGTTTTTACAGAGGGGTTCGTTCAGATGTCATTTGCCTGATGTGAAAAACATAGATTTTTTTTTTTTGATCGATTGATTATTTTCTGTGGAAACTTGTTTCCACCACAGAATAAAAATTAAAAAAAGTAAAAACTTTGAGAAAACTTTTTATCTCAAAATTCAGACTGCGTTATTTGCAAGATTATTGTGAGATATTAAAATAAATCTATGAATAAATGACATCATTATCACATGGCACAGCTGATTGGTTCTCTCCTGTATCAGTGGCCAATGAGCTCGCTGCTCAACATTCAAATATATGACTAGTGCTTGCTGTAGCAGTTGCAGCTTGCTTCAGAAACCCTCCACCTTCCCCAGCTCCACCTGTATAGATCTGCTACGAGGTGATTCATGTATGCTATATGGGGGTTATTTCATGTATGTTATATTTGCAGCAGCAATATTTCTTACATGCTCACAGCAGCATGTTGTGGATGTATTGGCAGTAGCAAGTCTCGGTACTTGCTCTGTCGCAGCAGCAGCAGCGTAACAGATCTATTCCGCCAAGACCAAATACATTAACATTGTCATGTACATTACCATGCCAATCCCTCCGAGAGTTGTCATGACAGAAATTTAATTAGATAATGCCTAATTTACATAAAATTTCAGAAATGTTTTAATATAATTTTTTTTTGCAATTCCTAATGTAATCAATCATCTGGGGAAGTATGATGATATAAGTTTTATTATTTTTTTAAATTATATTCACCTGGGGTGTCTTGCCATAAGTCGGCACACTATTTCCGTAGCAACTGGCTCAATGGGAGTTCAGCACTTGTCATGTCCTTTAAACAGTTATTTTTAAAGATCCTGTTTCAAGATGGAGCTCACATTACTGTCTTTAGAACAGCCTTAAGAAGATTTAGCACTTTTTATTACTACATTACTATGAAATGTTTTGTAATACAAAGACAGATATTCTGTGTCAAAAGTTCATCCTGCAAATGCTTGTTAATACAAGTTGTATTAACAATACCAGTTGTTAATACAAAATGCCATCACTTACTGTTTTATTTCTTCATCCACGTTATTAATCTAATCTAATGGTCTGAATATTGAGAAGTCACTTACCAAGAACAGAGTCTCTATCTTTGCCACCGCTCTCCTCAGAAGGGTGCCCAGGTGGTCTCCAACCCCTGCTAACAGTATCCCAAACATGGGGATCCCCACCAGAGCATAAAATATACAGAACAACTGACCACCTTTTGTTTTGGGCGAGATGTTTCCAAAGCCTGAAGAAGAGGAGAACATGTGAAGTCAAGCGCCTAAGATGGTGATATTCTAAAGTGAAAAATGTGTTTATCTCACCGATAGTGGTTATGATAGTACCACAGAAGAAGAAAGCATTGGATGGATCCCATCTGCTGGTATAATTTGATGTGCTTCTGGCATCCACACCTGCTTCAATGGCATCAACCACTTTCTGAAGTGAAAAGATTATATTTGATCAATTTGATCAATTTATCGATGATGCCCCAGTGTACATATACGAATATCTACACACACAGAGAACATTTTTATTTTTATAATATAAAATACCTGTTGTTATTGTTAGCTAAAACTATTACACATTTTTACAAATTTAAATGTTAATTAAAATAAAGCTCAAATAAAATTAAATATTAAAAAACTAACTTAAATATAAAAAAAATTTAAATTAGAAATGTTCTCTTAGTAAGTAATTGAAATAAAGTAATAACTAAAATAAAATATAAATAGTTAGAAATATTTAAAACAACAACACAATTAATAAAATGCAGAAAACATCAAATTCGTAAAACTAAAATTTACTATAGTATTTGAATACAATTGTAGTATTTATTTTATATTTTTATTTTATATTTTCAGTTATCAGTTTTATATTTTCAGGTTTATTTAAATATATATATATATATATATTTTTTTTAAGTTTTAGTAATTTTATGTGCTTTTGTCATTTTATTAATTTTTGTTGTTGTTTAATATTTCTATTTAGCTTTTTTATTTATTTTTAATTGTCTTTTTTTTGTCATTTTAGTTAGTATTTCAACTTAAACGTATTTTATTTCAGTTACTTACCAAGACATTTCTATTTTTAAGTTTTTCATCTAACACTTATACTTTATTTAACTTTATTTGAATTTTTAATAGCTTTACCAAGACAATTATTGGTTATTTACACTGTAAAGAATTATTCTTCAAAGCTGTAAATAAAACAAAGATTATTGGAGTATGTCTTACAAGAAAATACTATTTCTGTCTTTCTTCGTAAGGGTTACAATGCACCTGATAACTTTTGTTAACTCTAAAATAAGTCAATCCACTTCAGCAATGCTACCGCAAAACGGAAGTTCAGAAACACATTTCTAAAGATGGCTGCGCAATTGTTTCACTGGCGCCTAAGGTCTATAGGTTTCGAGTCGAGAAGCCGTGCTATATCGTAAATAGTTCAACAGTAAACAGTTCTTCAGTAGTGTTGCTTTTATGAAACACTGACTAGATAAAATACTAATTACACGCATATTAATTAGAATTTAAGCAATTTCATTAAACACAAAATTGCACCTAACCTACTGAATGGATTGTACAGCCTAGTTTTTATTTGTAAAAATGAAATACACCTCCCCGACTTCTCTTAGCTCAATAAAATACTGTTTTAATGGAAATATGTACAGTATAAATTAGGACATAAATTGCTTTAATTTTATAAAAGCAATAAGGCTCTCAAGGCTGTGCATTTTTGTATGTGTGTGTATACTAATATATATATATATTCACATTACAATATAGCACGACCTTCATACCTAAAATAGTGACGTCAGCTATGGTAATGACCATGCTCTAAATGGACTGGACGTCTGTCATCTGTGGACAGAAGTGCAATGCTAAATCACCGTCAAACATTAGAGCTCAGAATTCAAAACATTCACTGTAAGGACCGCAGTGGGCCCTCTGGAACCAGCCAAAACTCAGGAGAGAATAAACAGAACCCTGACCGAGCTGATGCAAAGACCAAAATGGCCTTTAAATCCTTTAAAAGCTCTGATATGTGATATCACATTCCTAGACATGCCTTTGATTTCTGCTCCAACAATGACTAACATTTGGCTTTTGAAAACACAACTGCATAACACCGTATTCATGGGCTATCTTAATCTATTACACTATTCTGCAAAACAGGTTGTACTTTAACTGTGGAAATTACTTGTGACCGAAGGTTTGTGTAATGACATTATGCCAGCAGTACATTTCTTACAGACGAGTAGAAGTGTTGTGAACCAGAGGAAAGCATCCACTGTCGAACAACCTGTTCAGCCAAAAGACACAAATGGAGTGTCTTTAAAAATACAGAGCTGAAGTGTTGTACACTGCACTCTCTAAATGACTGATCAAGGTTTGGATAACATTCGCTTTCCCTTAACTAAGCGCTGAATCCACTAGGTTTAGAAAGGCTGCATAGATCTGCTGCACATGAATCTGACAAATTTGATGAAACATTTGTCACAAAATTATGGTGTAAATGCAATTTCAAATTCACAAATAAAATGGAAATTAAATAAAGATCCACAAATAAATTATGTAAAAAAAGAAAGAAAAACTCACAAAGGAATAAAATGACATTAGGATGTGAGCACTATGTAATGGAAAATAATGAATAGTAAAGCAAAGTTGAATTAATTTGAGTGTCATTTGCAATAATGACTGGCTGACTGTATTGCATGGCTAATTACCAAACAAATCAATATAAGGATATGAAATATTGATATGAGCTAATATGATTTAAATACGAGAATAGAGTGTGTATGAGACAATTGAAACATGCCCAGCTTTGTAGGAAATGGTAGTCAATCATACAGTTGATCAGATATTATACAAAAAATATTTAACAGAATGCTGTGACTGACCAATTAAAATGAAGTATCTTCAAATTGTAACGAAGTAAACTCCAAATTTTGCTGGTACAGATTTCTACAATGGAAAAAAAAAAAAAAAACAACCACAACAACACATGCATATTTGGATTTCATTTACGTTTAATAAATGTAAATATTCCAAACTGAAAATCCTACAAACCATTTGACATTTAGAAGAAACACATTCAAGCAAAAGTATACACAAATACACAGATGACAGTGAATCAAATAAATAGATTAATCTAATCAAAAACGTATCCAAGTTTCTCAAATGCTTCATTACAAACGGACAATGATATAAATACTCCACTGTGGATTATAAAGCTGTTAGATGACAGAGAGAGAGAAAGAAACAGCCTGACAGTGAATCGCCATATAAGGATCGGAAACAGGCTCAGGTTGATCTGAGTCATACCACACACTCACACTCTCTCTCTCTTGCAGTAGTGCATAAAGGCAAGTCTTCAGGACGTGTCTACCAATAAATAAAAAGACTATTCACAAAATTCAAGTCTCATAAAAAAGGGGCTAACAACACCTCTACGCAAACAAAAATATGTTACATTGGTATTTCAAAGCTAAATTATAAAAGGCTCCAACACTCAAAACTACACGACTTTAATATGCACAATAAGGCATTGCTTTTCAGCTATGAGAACTATCAGGGAAAAAAAGATCACAAAACTTCAATGTCTTTAAATTCTACATCACATAACACAGGCAGCGCTCAGATCCTCTCAAGTGTCATGGTGAGCAGAAGACACCCTTGACACGTACATTAGGATTAAAGAGGCAGTGAAATTCCTTCAGCATGGAAACCTGAGAACAAACACAGATTATGCTGATCTGAAATGAGTTATATTAGAATAACCAGTGGAAATGCTTCTCTTAATGCATTACAAACAAGTATTGCAAAGCATGCGTAGTAATTACCTATGGGAGATATCAGGTGTGTATGAGTATTATGGCTCGATGTCATCATCTTCCTCCTGGGGCGTGGCTTCTCTGCGTGGGAGGGGCATTGCATCAGTTCCCAGAAGCCCCCTACGCAGGACGTATGGACAAGCGGGCCCACTGGGAATGTCAGCAAATCCTTCAGGAGATAAAAAGCCCATTAAAGGAATAGTTCACCCAAAAATTTAAATTTGCTGAAAATTGACTCGCCCTCAGGCCATTCAAGATGTAGATGAGTGTTTCTTCATCTGAACAAATTTGGAGAAGTTTAGCATTACATCACTTGATCACCAATGGATCCTCTGCAGCGAATGGGTGCCGCCAGAATGAGAGTCCAAACAAGCTGATAAAGACATCACAATAATCCACATGACTCCAGTCCATCAATTTACGTCTTGTGAAGTGGAAAGCTGTGTTTGTAAGAAACAAATCCATCACAAGGCATTTTTAACTTCAAACTGTTGCTGCCAGCTAAATTTAATGCAACATTTCTCCAAATCTCTTTCGATTAAGAAACTAACTCATCTCGGATGGCCTGAAGGGGAGTACATTTTGAGCAAATTTTCATTTTGAAGAATGTTTGCACTACTCTGGTTTTTAAAGTAGTATCTAACCTTTCATAACAACCTCTGGCAGGCCATATGGTTCGTATTCGGTCTCGTCGTAAGCGGCAGACATGCGGCTGCGGTTTTGCCGGATGCGTTCAGCAAGCTGAGCTGGGTTATTCATGGGGAACATGCTGGATAACAGCAGTTGGTTTGTAACAGACTGTGGGGTCAGAGAGAGGGGCGGCGAGTCTGCAGGCCCTTTATCGCCTTTACCTTGCACCGTCTCCAGCTGATCTCCATCTTTTTGGGTGCAGGCATGGACGGGTGGCTGTTTGTCCCCCAAAATGAGCTCTCGGCTCTCCTCTGTCTGAGTGGACACACTCTTCACCTCTGTTCTGACCTTCCTGACCTCTATCATTTGACACTGTGCAGATTCATTCTTGATTGGTTTTTCCACATGTTTGTTATTTTCATCTGTTGTTTCTCCATGACAATGTCCTTGTTTATCCAAATCAACAGTTTCCATGGTTTCAATCTCATTATGCTCAGTGCATAACACATCAGAATTCTGGGAGTCTGTAGTCCCATAGGACTCTGTGAATGGATTTGACTTGATTACCTCGGTCTGATATTTGGTTGTGATGTAAACACTGATTAAGGCATCTTTCTGGCTGTCCGCACTAGCATCTGCTACCTTGGTCTGATCCTCGGGAGACACTGAGGCAATCGGCTGAGAATCTGAATTACTGTAATCTGTTGGTTTGGTCTGTGGAGGTGACAGCTTGTCTTTAGTATTACTACTCATTATATCTGAGACCCAGACAGGAGGACTTTTGTGGCTTTTGTAGATAAAAGAGCTGCTTTCACATCTGTGTTCAGCATGTTCTTTGGTCATTACATTCTCATTTCCAGTTGTAAGATCCTGAAAACAATTAAATGAATAGGTCTGTGAATGGCATTTTATTGCAGACAAAAAGAAAGGTGTGTCATCATTTACCAAATTCTTATTATGACTATATTAGAGCTGCACAATTTTGGGGGAAAAGAAATCCTATAGTGATTTTTCAGATAAAAATTTCCATTTGAAATGCAATAAAAAAAAATTATGATTTTATTTCAT